ATTTTGTGATTCTCATCGTTGTTCGAAACTGATGCCGAATAAGATCTGTCGAACTTATGAGTAATATGCTCCCAAAAATAAAAAGAAAATATCAGCTTTCCTCAAACTGAGAAATAAAGCGGCTTGGAGTTTTTGCCTCACCCGACGACCGCGCCTAAAAAATCCCGAAGGCTTTCCTGAATAGTTTTCTAACTGCTGAACCCACCACTCCGACTTTGGCGGCCAAGTTCTTTGCTTCCCGCACGTTGTGTCAGCGTGGAGACCTCGCCTTTCGTAAGGCACGAGTAATGAGCTCTCCGTCGAGATCACGGCTGCGCATTTGACGTTCAGGGGCCCAGCCTCGTAACATGCCCTGGATTCGCGATAGCTCATCGAGGCCCGAGTCATGTCTGCAATAAGGGACCATTACACACATTGGTAACACTTGTGCACTGCGGTCTGTCGCTACCGTGCTGTAGTACATTGACCTGATCTCGAGATTAGCGCCTGCCCACTACAAATTCCAACAACCGAAGGTGCTGTGGATGCACTCCTCTGTGACTGCCATCTGTGAGAGATGCGTATTGTGCCATGCACTCGCCTCCCGCTGTGTTACTACCGATTATGACGTCAACGTTGCTTCAGACCTCGAGCATGTCTCGGAATGTGGTTGCTGTATTGCGGGCAATACACGATGCTCTCGCAACGGCGCGTTTGGCGAAGCTATCTGCAATTGGACGACATCGAGGTACCCTGAGAAATCCTGAGAGACATCACGATGTTGTGTTGAAAATGCGTGTGTTGAAAACAGCTATGTTGTCGTGAGAAACCACGTGTTTGCACACACAGTAGCGCTTGATATGCACGATGTGCACAGCACGGCGAAGCGTAAGTTAATTTGCAAACGCAGTGCAGCACAGCTATCCATAGTGTTTTCCTTCACCGATAGAGTAATTACTAATGCTGGGTGGCATGCCTCATCCACAGGTGTAAGAGTTTGGCAAGACCCTGATTGAAACAATTTGACACCGGAGAGTTGAAATGTTGCCACGAAAGTTTCTGCTTCACGCGGAATTCCCGTTCTATCAAACACAGCGGTGTGGTGTTTTAAAAAGTGGTGTCAAAGGGATGTGACTTTGAACCAAGCGCCAGTTTTCAAATGGCGCGGGTATGATTGTTGTTTTGTTTTGTTGGTGCGAGTGGCCGGTGAGCCGTTCTGCCCTGAGAAGGCGAGAAAAACGGCCGTCAGGCGAGTGTAACTCACGCATATGCGTGTAGATCTCACAGTGCTCACAATCTGGCTGTTTCCGTTGAAAACACACACACAAAGGCGGAAAGTTCCTCTTCAGTAACGGGAAGGAGACCCAGCCCCTGGCCCTTATATCGGGGAGCCGGGGGGCAAGAAGAAATACTGAGCTGAAAGGGATTTCCTTCTTGAATAGTGGGCTCCAGACCTGCACGCTTTCAGCCGCCTCCCCTGCGCATGCAGGCGCATACATTGCATCTTGGCGCATTCGAGGAAGTGTTGCGGAACGGCTTTATTTTCCGCAAAACAAACGAGCAGATCTGCTGCGGCCAGGTTAACATCTCCAGCCGGCGGGTGTCCAATTCGTCAGTCCCGAGAGGCACTCCGACGCTCCACCCCGCCTGTGATCGGTACGGCGCGGACCTGGCAAGGCTCGTCCCGGGAGGCACTCCGACGCTCCACCGCGCCGTGATCGGTACGGGCGGTGCTGGCACGGTTCGGAGGCGTATTCGGCGCACCAGACCCCTCTCGCGGCGCTCCGGCCGATCTGGCACCGCGTCGGTCGGGGCCCGCGCTGCCAGCTGGCCGGCCTCCCGCTGGTGTCTCCTGCGCCGCAGCGCGAGGCGTCGGTCCGGGCCGCGGCGCGCACTGAGCTGTGATGGCCTGACGGGCCGGGTCCGGCGGCCAGCGCTGGGCCGGGTCCGGCGGCCAGCGCTGGGCCGGGCCCGGCGGTCAGCGCTGGGCCGGGTCCGGCGGCAAGCGCTGGGCCGGGCCGGGCGGCCAGCGCTGGGCCGGGCCGGGCGGCCAGCGCTGGGCCGGACCCGGCGGCCAGCGCTGGGCCGGGCCTGGCGGCCAGCGCTGGGCCGGGTCGCTGCATCTTCAGCACCAGCGCGGCGGCGGTCTCAACGGGCTCCAGAGCGGGACGCCGTCTGGTGGCAGAGGCTCCCGCCAGACGGGTGCTCTCCTGCTGTCACTGCTCCCTTGACGGCAAGAGGGATTGATTGCTCTGTTCTGTTTGTTTTTTAGATCATCGGCTTTTAAAATACCAAGAGACGCTGGATAAGGCAAGAAACTAAGTCATCTTTGGGTTGCAACAATCGCTGGGCAATATCATCATCACGATGTACGTATCAGCAACACCATTTGGATGTACAAAAAAACGGCGAGTATTTTCGAGACATATCCCGATGATTGATTGACATATGTCGTTAACCAATTTCTCCTGGTGCATGTAACGCCAATTATGTTTGGCAAATAACTCACAGTGCCGCAAAACAAGAAGCTTAAAACATTTACTGCTTACGTCAGATTCTGTTTCTTACCGCTACTCGACTATGCCTCTCTTCCCACCGAGCTCTATTCCAGCTTTACAGCCTGCATCACCATCACATCGGTCTGTGTGAGGCAACGCTTGTACGGCTATTGCTAGCTAGTGACCTGCACTTAGGACGGAATGTGAGGTGTTGTCAGTGCTATGCGGAGCTCACGGAAACATGCGCTTTACACATGCAAGCGGATTGTAAACCTCTGCATGACTGGGGGCATTACTCTTTGGCCCAGATTGATGAATAAGGTAAGCGCGACAGAGTGTGGTCATTTAGCTTGCATCTGCTTGCCTGAAAAGGCAGAGCGCTTGGTTCGAAAGGTGTGGTACAACTTGCACTGGCCATAGTATTGATGCGCTCGCTTAAGAGCGTTTTGTTGTCAATAGCTTTTCCGTTGTTGTGCATCTGCCGAAAGTGCACTTTTCGACCAGGTCATTTATGAAAATTAAACCAATTTCGAAAGGTGCAACAAAGATGCAGGCGGCAAAGCCACCGGACCGTTCATGTGACTGTTTGACGGACTGCACCGTTTGCAAGTCATTGCGTGCAGTGTTGCACTTCCTGCCCGGTTGGCCTGGCCCCGTTCACCTTTAGCGTAAGTGTCGTTCGTGATGCAGTGTTGTATGGTGCTGTGAATCCGTCAAAATGAACTGGATCCTGGCTTTCGCCAGCCTTTGCTTGAACTATAAGGCCTACTTACGGACGATTACGCGCCCAAATTACGTCATGTCACGAAGCTATGACGTCAGCGGTTGGGGCGATTAAAGCCAAGTCGGTGCTGCGCGCTGAAAGCAGCGGTTGCCCGCTATCATAAATTGAGCTTGATGTCCACATCAGGCATTGCTCTCCACATCCTTCGAACGCCGTTGCACGCTCTCAGAACGCTGCACCTCTGATTGCGCACATGATCAAGCGTGACTAAAGCCTCCGACGCCGCAGGCGCGCGCGTGTTGTGATTTCCTTGGCGCCACTTGTTGCATTTCATTGCGTTTTCCACGCCGGTGGGACAACCTCTACGCGATAATGCTTAGCGTGTCACGTATCAAGGTCACTGTTCAGATATTTCTTGTCACAACCATCACGAGCACCATCATATTGGCAAGCAGCCTTGTTGTCCTGTCACGACCTCACGTGACCATGTACAGCAGTCTTGACCCTTGTCACCAGACTCGGTTACCCGAGCTTCACTCTGCGAGTTCAGCAGGCAGCATGGACGGGGCATCGCATCTCTTTGCCCCCCCCCCCCCCCCCCCACCATCGGCCGTTGGAAGCACTAAGGGCAACAGCGCATGCCTTTCGAAAATGTGGTCTTCCGTCTCGGTGAATTTGTGGTAGAAATGCACTAGCATATTGGCTGTGTCGCGTTCAGCGCTCAGTGTCGCATTCAGTCGGCAATCTGCGTTACGTACTGCGGAAGCGGAGTATTGACGTAGGTCGTGCAATGTTGATTTACCGCGATATCCCGCGCGCAGCCGCGAACCAGGACCAAAGATTCGCACATCCAGCCATACTCTTCTTTATTTCTAAAGCAAAACAGCCGATGAAGAGTGTTACTCTGAAATCATTGTCACCTGTCGTCCATGCCAGGTCAAAGGTCGAGTCGACTGCGCGCGTCGGCGGACGGCGGCTCCAGCCAGACATGACGGTCCGCAGTTTGCCCGCTGGTACTGACTTGTGGCCGTCGCTGCCGACCGTCGATCACAACAGCCGCTGGCGGCGCGCGGCCGCCATGCGGCACCAAATAAACGCCAACATCGCTATTAAAACTCGAATGCAAATCAAGGAGGCGCGTCGCCGTCGCAGCCGCGCCACAGGCGCCGCAAACAAGCCGTGATCCACGATAAGAAAGCACCGGTACAAGCGGTGGCCTTACGAGCTATTCGGGGTAGGGCAAGGGCTAATCAAGGGCCTGCGTATCCACACGTGGTGAGATCGGTCACCGATTCAAAAAATCACCTCAGTGGTCCCAAAGAGAACAAGCACCGACGAGCCGTGCGGGGCGGTCGCCGACCAAACGCAGAGCAATGAAAGAAGTGCAATCAAAATGGCGGACAAGCAAATGGCAAACACGGGCGGGGCGGGAGGCTGGCAACGGCCGCCAAGTGGCGGGCCGTGGCCGCTCACAGCGCCGACAACAAATGTCCGGATTCCAGACAACGGCGGACTGCTCTGTACACGTCCTTTCTACACACATCGCGAGTGTACGAGTTCCAGGACAGATATCGAATCTGATACAAACGTGCTGACTAGGCATTCACCACCTATAAAAAGTTCAAGCGATCCTAACCCTAGAAGAGCGAAATATGTACATCGATGCCAGTCTTTGTCATGTCGACCCGCCTGCGAAAGGCCTTCACAAACCAACTGGATGCTTGCTTCGCGCGAACCTACAAACCGATCTCTCCCGTATCTACAGAACGTGCAGCATTATGAAGCAAGCACCGCCAGTCCAACATCACGTCAACTTGCCCGCGCCTGCCGCGCCTGCCCGCCGCCCTCCGCCCATCAGGGGGAGCGAGTCATGGCCGGGCTGCTTCGGCTTCCGCAGCGCCTCCCAAGAGCTCAACAACTGGGCATCGCCCGCCCACGTCACGGTTCTCGCTCCTTTTTGACTGGCGGGTCCTCGCCGAGGATGGTGGAGATTTCGTTCTGCATGAAGGCCCAGGGCACGTTCGAGTCCTGCAGCGGGCACTTCTCGCCGCTGGGGCAGTACACCTGGCGGAGGGAGGGACAGTCAGGCGTCGATGGCGGGCAGAAGCGTACGGAAGACATATTCCGGCCGCGATTCTGTAATCAACGAAGGCATCACGCACGACACAGGACATCCTTACCATCCCGCCACCAGTGGCAGCGATACCAACACATCACACACTGACACATCGCACAATGACATATCGCACACCACCAAAACACAAAGCAGCGCTGTACCCCGCCCCCCGTCCGCCGCCGTCGCCGCCGCCGCCCAGAAACAGCCACGCACTCGAGCCGGCCGGGGGGTGCCGGGGTGGCGCCGGAGGGGGGGGGGGGGCGGCGCCGGCGGTATCGCAGCGTCAACACACGCTGCGCCGCCGGTCGGTTATCGGCTCCGCCCGGTGCGGCTGCCCCGGCGCGGATCAACATCACGCCACCGGCGAACGCCGGGACGCTGGCGACGTCAGCTCCGGCCGCGCGTCCGGCCGCGCGCCTGGCGCCGCGCCCGACCCGCCGCCGCCAGCTGGCGCGCCGGCCGGCCGCGCTGCCAGCCCCCCCCCCCTCGCCCCCCGACCGAGGGCTGTTTGCGGCGCGTGCCAACGTGCCGCGCACCAGGAAGCGGGCGCACGCACACGCACGTCGACGGCACGCGCATGGCTGGCCGCGCTGCCAAGCTGAGTGCTGTGAGTTGTCACGCGCGCCCGGCCCCTCCCCTCGGCGACGAGCGAGTGAGGATGGGCCAGCACACGTCCGCGGGCACTGTGCCCGGCCAGCTAAGCTAGCTAGCTACCCCTCCCCCTCCCCTCCCCACATGATCTCGTGCTCGTTGCGGTCCCAAGCCCGTCGATGAAAACTAGAGAGCAGGCTTTTCATAGCCAGGATGGAGTTACGAGGCGACTGCGGATAAGACAGCAGCCACTCGACGGAGGACGCGACGGCGGAAGAATAAAGTCAGCAGACGAGAGACCCACTTCACAACTTGCATTCCTACCGCAACTCTCACGCTGCCCTTCCGCTCCATTAACCACCACGATATCCACAAGCTCTAATCATCGAGATATCGCCGTCGCATTTCACCGCGCACGTATTTCACCCGTGACGTATTTATAGAATTCCTGATGTCGGCGTGCTCGCGCGCAGTCTGCGGCGCCGTCCGCCGATGGGCCGAGCTGCTGGCGGCCGGCGGCCGGCACGGCCTCCAGTCACGCCACATCGCGCCGCTGGCGCCCGTCGGTCCACCATCGACGAGCGCGGCAGGTCAGCGCGCCCCGCGTGACCGGCGCGGAGGCCCGTTGGCGACCGGCCGCCATTTATTGCCCCCGGGCGGTAATGGTCGCGATGGCCCGCGCGCCCGGGGGGGCTCCGGCAGATAGGGCCTGGTCAGGCGAGGTCTGGAGAGCCGCCGACCCGGGGCGGCGAGCGGCGCGCGGCGCGCGACACCAGCCTGATCGGATGGGCACGCTCCGCGACACGGCGCGTCTGCTCTCGAAGCCAGGCGCTGCGGCGTCTCCGGCGTCGACCTCGATATATATACCCAGCGGCGGTCGGCGCGGCGCGCGCCACGGCCGGCCTTCAACCCGGGATCATCAGCCCGGAAGCTGACCTCTCGTCCCTGAACGGAGCGTCGGCCGCCGCGTCCTCCCGAGGCGGCGCGCGGAGACGGCCTTTCGCAGTCGACCCGCGGCGACGGCGGCGGCGGCGGCGTGCCAGCTCCGGACGGGGCACGTGCCGGCCGGCCCCGCCGTCGCCGCCCATACCGAGTCGTTACGGCCACGTCCATCCCGCCAACGGGTCGCTCGCTGCCGCGCCGGTGGCGCCTCCGACAACCCATCGGCCGTCTCATCTATAATGTACCCGCACGGCGAGGCGGCCGCGTCGCCTTTGACGCGCCGTGATGCGGCCGTCGAAGGCGACGCGCCGGTCGGCGCGGCGCGCGGCGCACAGCGGGGTTGCCTCACCTCCGAGCCGACGCCCTGTCGCTTGATGCTCTCGCGCGAGCACGGGAAGCAGAACTTGTGGTGGCTCTTGGAGGGGCACTGCACGAAGTGCGTGTCCTCCAGCCGCTCCTGACAGAGCGTGCACTTGAGCAGCGCGTTCGGCACGGGGTCGGTGACGGTGGAGGTGGCCACGCCCTGCTCGGCCACCACGCCCTCAGAGGCGGCGTGGCGCGAGGTGGAGGAGCGCCGGCCGGCCGACACGGCGCCAGGTGGTGGCGCGCTACCCGCTGCCGGAGGAAAGAGTGTCGTCACCACCACACGCTCGGTGGGCGTGAGGGAGGCCCGTGAGCAGTGCACGCTAGCTGCTGTAGGCTGGGGGTGGGGCGGCGAGGGGTTACAAGTCATTTCCAAGCGAGGAGTTACAAGAACCTCCAAACGTTGGTGCATTTAAATTGATGGAGTCCTCCACACTAAATGCACCACACACCAAGCGTCAACGGGTTACATGTCACTATATCATCTACTATATACAAGCATTAGATGCATCGCTGTTGTTATCACACCAACACGCTGGCGCATGACAGCTCGTTTATTGCTGTCGATTACTTTGTTGCTGTATCACAGCATACATTATACACATATTCCATTCGGCAAACGTGGCGACGCCGCACGTGTAACGGTGTGGCGGTTGCGCCACGGGGCCAGCGAACGTCCGACGAACAGCTGGCGGGTGTCGGCAGACGGGGGCGGCTCCGCATCGATCACGCCCGAGCGCCGCTCCCTCAGCGCGCGCGGCCGACGGGCGGCGCGTCAGCGGCGCCCGGCCGTCTCCCGCCCCCCCCCCCCCCCCCTCCCCGCCCGCAGCACGCACGGCCGAGTGGCGACGAATCCGGCGCACGCACCGGTCGTCGGACGCGCACGCACGGCAGCGCGCCCGCCGGCGCCGGCGCGCACGCGACGAGCGTCGCCGCACGCGCGGCAATAATCACTGCACGCGCCGGCACGCGATAGTCCGATCTCCTGCGCGGGTCGGCGGCGCGGCGCCGTGAGAGAGCGGGGCGTCCGGCCGGCCCAGCGGTTACCGGTGGGCGCTACTAACGGCGGGGATCGCGGCGACGGCGGCTAGGGGGCAGCCCCGCGTTGGAGCGGCGCGCGTCCAGCGTGCGCCGCCTGACTGCTGGACCGTCGCCGCTGGGCGTCCCCGCGGCTCAACTCGGAGAGTGCTGGGAGGACAATGGATGGCGTGCACCGTATCAGTGGTGCACGGCGTGCACAGGCCGCGTCACTCTAAACCAGAGGCCATGTTTGGATGGCGATGGACGGCTTCTGGTCTTGGACGCTAATCCTAAGCTGCGTTCCCGGGGCGCCGCTGCAGCCTTGGTCGGAGCTCACGGCGCTCGTCCCGTTAGCGCGCACATCGCGTGGGCGGCCACGACTCCGCTCGTCCGACAGAATGACTTTATTTGTATTTGACAAGTTATGGGGGAAAATCCTATCTGCCAGTGGTGGCAATGCTAACCGAAAATTCGGCCATCCGCGTTTCAATTTCTATGCTCCGCGTTTTATAACCATGGGCAATTTTCAACTTATGTCTCATCACCGACATAATTCGCAGTGTTTCGATGTTGTTGTCACCGTGTTGTCGCGCAGAGCAGTACAGCATAACACAGGGAGGCCGGTACAACAGCAACAGCTACCGCCATCGCCTACGCTCTGACCCCGCTCCATCCCACTCGCTGACACAACCCACCAGCCGTCGCGCCCCCACACCAGCTAACTCGTGCCCCCACACCAGCCAACTCGTGCCTCAACACCAGCCAACTCGTGCCACGGCACCAGCTAACTCGTGCCCCCACACCAGCTAACTCGTGCCCCGACACAAGCCCACTCGTGCCCCGACACCAGCTAACCCGCACTCCACACCCCCACACCCGCCGGTCCGCCCCGCGCCTCACTCACACGAGTTGGGCGAGTGCTGTGAGCTCCTCGACACGGAGCGCGTCGAGGAGCCGGGACTGCCGCTGTTGCGCGGCGAGCCGGGCGGCATCAGCTCCTGCAGCGCCGCCATCGGCGAGGCGCCCGCGCCGGCCGGCCCGTGGCCCGGCGGCGAGGTCCGCGTCACGGCCGCCGCCGCCGCCGATGTCGACACGGCCAGGCCGTTCATCGGGACCGGCACCATCGCTGCAACGCAGGGGGCGGGTGTGAGGGATGCTGCGGCAATAGCAGGTGTGGACGGAGACGGCACGGCTATCACGCGTGTGGTGTACGCGGACTGCGGACAGGGCGGAGGCGGCAGGGAACAAAAGGCAGCCGAAGCTGTGAAAGTAGACTAGGGCATGACTGGTAGAAAAATGGCAGACTGGGGAGCACCGCAAAAGGAAACTAAAAAGGGCATGAATTCACAGGCTTCACCGCATAAAAAGCTGCAACAATCACAAAAATGTGTGCATTTTGTGTTGACTGAACGAGAATGACCAATAAGGCCCGCTGATGCCGTTGGCACACGTGTCTCAGATGGAGTTCCGGCCCCGTCGCCCTGCAGCCAGCACGGCAGCCGCCGACGGGCGCCAGCTGCTAACCCCCGGCTCCCGTGCTTCAGGCGAGCGTGCCGCCGCACCACCCCCCGGCGCGGGGCGGCTCTCTGCCCCCGGGCGGGGGCCGGCGCGGCGGCGGCGCCTCACACTCCTTCATTGATCGCGACCGCCCGTCACGCGACCGGTCGGCGGCGTCGGCCGCCAGGGGCGGCCGCGCGAGCCGGCGGCGGCCGCGCGCCGCCGCGTCACGCGTCGCCGCGGCACGCACGGCGGCGGCGGCACGCGGCCTTGCTGCGGCGCATGTCGCGTGCAGCACCAGGATGCAGCGGCGGCCGCGGCTCAGGAGGAGCGGCGGATCCGGGATTTGGCGATCCGCGGGCCGGGTAATCGCCAGCCGCTCACGAACGCCGGCGGCGGCGGCGCTGTCGCCTCTCTCTCTCCCTCCCCGGTGATCTCAGCACGGCCCGCGCGGCGGCCGCAGCTGCCGACGGGCGCCGGCCGCGTCCGAGGCCCGCTGTTTATTTATACGGCGCGTTCAGTGTGACCTGCGCTGTTGATGGCGGTCCGTTTGGAATCGGAGCGCGCCGGCCGATGTGTGAAACATCAGCCGAGTGTTTATGCCGGCGCGGCGGCGGCGTACGCGGCGCGCCCACGACGCCGCGGACGTCCACTCCCACGTCCGCCCACGTCCGCTCCGTCTGTGACGCGCGACGTGCGCGGGCCGCCCGCTGGGGACCTGGAGCGGGACGGGCGTGCCGGACCAGCGCCGTCTGACCCGGCCGGCCGGCGGTGACCTCCAGTGCTGGACCTCGTCCGCAGGACGTGACTCCGCGGCCTGACGCGAACCCCGCCCCCGCGGCCTCCGGCGACCCCGCCGGAAGCGAGCTTCGACAGGCTGCACTGCCCGACTGGGCCCCAACGAGGCCGCGCCGAAGTCCTCCTCCGGGCTGAGGTTCTTGAGGGCGGGGCGGGGCGGCGGTCGCGCGTCTGCAGCCGGCGCCATCACACCCCAGGCCCTGTCCTTTGACCCGGCACCATTCAGTTGGCGCGCAAGCTGACGGCGCGCTCTAGATAGCGGACGCCGCAGTCAAAGGTCACGCGCCGGTCAGAGTGCGCGCCGAATCAGGCCGATTCGGTGTCCGGTCGCGCCGCGTCGGTCCGGGGTCGCCGGCTCGGGGTCGCTCGGGGTCACTGGGCGCGCCGACTGGGGTTGGCGGGGGGAGGGCGCAGGGGGACGCGCCGGCCGCGCCGTGTACACGGCCGCCGGCTGCAGTAAACACTGACGTCAGCCGTCGGCGGATATATCAGGCGCGCAGGCCGGCAGACGCCTGTGACACACCGTCTGGAAGGCCTCCAGTGATGCCGGGTCACGGCCGGTCGCCGCCGCCGCCGCCGCCGCCGTCCAAGTCGGTCGATGGCGGGATACCCGCCCCGGAAGCGGCGACACTCGGCTGCAGGAGTTCGGAGGCGCATCGCGTGAGCGCCGGAGGTTGGTCGGCCGCGCCCCACCTCGCCATCTCGGACGAACGCCGCGACTGATGACTCAACTCTCCCGTTCGCCGGGGCGCGCCTTCTGCTCGCCGCGTTCCCTTCTCACCCTGCACGCAACGGAGCGTGGCCTTCGATCGCGCCCAGCGTCCGACGCTGCCAACAAAATACCGCCACGACAAGGACCGCCCCTCCCCTTCCGCCCCGCCCGGCGCCGACGCCCGCAAGTGAGGCGACGGACCAAGTTGCGCCGTTACGAGCGTACGCCGGCCGGCCGATGACGCGGCCGAACCACTCGGAATCGGGCCGGACCGAGTGCGCCGCGCTGGCGTATATTAGTCGGAGGCACGCCACGCGGCGTGCGCGTCCATTGGGCCGCGGGGGTCGGGCCTTTGTGCCGGCGGTCATCGCTCTCGAACGTCACGTACCGCGCGGGGGTCGCCGCCCAACTGATGGCGTCCACACCGAGCGCATTGCCAGACGGCTGTGCAGGTGTGCAGCAGGCGGCGGCCGAGGTTTGCCTTGGTGGAATGCGACCAGTGCGGGGTGCGGTCCACCCCAGCGCCGCCTGACCAGGCTGATGGGCTTGGCAGCGGCCGCGCGGCTTCTCCAGCGCTGGCGGCCACCGAGGGGAAATACTCATGAGTGTCCCGGAGCTGAGCATGTAGAGGCGGAGAGCCAATCACTGGGATCAGCTCACAGCGCGGCTTAACGTACCAGCGGAAGAAACGGCGCCACCTGTCTGGGAATATGGGCATGCCGCATTCTTCTTCCGTTCCATGCCCCTTCCCATCGATTGGATCGTCAGGGTAGATTGTGAGAATCGGTTCCGAAGCACCACCAGCGTTGCACCGCTGGCACCACTCACATGAAGTAATCCCAGTGGTGCGCTCCGGCATCGTCGCTTGACTTCCGATGGCCCCTTTCGACAAGAAGTGACGTCAGCAACTGACGTCCTACGGCTGTTTTGAATCGATCCGACCCAGCCATTAATTAAACATGCACGCCGTGCATCGCATGCGACTGCGGCTTTCACCTCGAGCAAGTGCGGTTCGCAGAGTGGCACGAGTACGTCGCTGTGTCCGTAACATTAATCATTGTTTACTTTGTAGTGCCTGATTATTTCGCGCGAACGATGTACGCAACGCCGCAGTGTGCCCGAATGGCCTGAGGACGATAACATGAAGCCATTGTAGGAAGTCAGGACATGCATGCAGTGCCGTATTCACGTTGGGGGAGGGGGGGACTTTGGAGGCCTCAAACACTCCGCAAGTCAGAGGCCTCCTCCGCGCAGCACGCGGAGGGGCCCCGGGTTCCCCACGAGGTTCCTCGGCCCAAGGCGTTAGTTGACCTGGCGGCTCTTCGCTTGCACTACAAAGGGCCTCTCCTGTCCCGGCAAAGGTGGCCCTGTTGACCCGAAATGGGAAGTTAATACCGACATACAAACATCATTGGGACCCTTCAAAGGCCGCTCGGGCTCTCCCGTAGCAGGAGATACCCGGCGTTGACCTAGGTCGAGGGCTTTCGCTCGCCTGTGGCAGGTCTGGGAATGGTAGACATTAAAAGAACCATCTACAAACGCCAGAAGCCCGTTGTACTGAGGCCGCCTGTTCAGCAGAACACTTGGCGTACCCGTCCATTCTAGAGGCGTCCCAATTTTAGAAAACAAAACCCCTAAAGCTATGATCGCAGGCCCGTGGAGCGCAAGGTCCGTTATGAAAAAATTACTAATGAATCAACTACTGAAATGGACCCTAAAGCCGTTGACGGATATCTCTTGGGTCCTGTTTTGGGCCCTGTTTCGGTACACTTCGTTCAGCTTCACTGAAAGAAGCGTACCGAGGTGCCCAACATGTCTAAAAAGGGGCCAACAAATCCCAGGGAGGCTCCGGGTTACAAAGAAGACGGTCACAAAGCCGAGGACAGTCTTTCAGGCGTACCACGTATTCCAGTCAGCATCCACCGGTCGCCGTCTACAGACGGTACTTGAACGTGCCCAGTAGTTTAAGGGATGCTTACAAAAAATTCACCGACATTCATTTCCCTGCGGAAGCCTCGCTGCAGCCACCCGGCTCGCGGCCGAAGATGCCTCTTTGAACAGCACAGGATCTACGACACATAAAATAGCGCCCCGGTGAAGGTTGATAGTCGCCACTATATGGGATTGAGGAAAGCCTCTTGGATAGGAATTGACCTCTGTAGGAGGGTCGCTCGTGTGCGTGCAGCCGCACCATGCATAGGTGTAAGAGTCTCAGTGGTGAGGGCCGGGGGCCATCGGAGGATTGCGGTCAAATTGGAATCGGGTGGAGAGCCTGGCCTGAACATGACATTTTGGAATGTGAAAACTGCACAGCACATGCAAAACGGGGCGGCATGACCTCCGCTTCCAAAAGAACATAATTCCATTTCCCCGTATATCACTGTTTGAGGGATGTTTTTATTAGTTTGTTTACTAAATTCCTCGACCCTGAACCTTTCATCAGACTTCTTGAGGATCTTCTGAGATCCATGACGACCCTCCCTAAAATCATATAATACATTTTGATGTCCAACATCGATTTTAGGAGGCCCTCCCATATAAAAGCATGGTCCCGGCGTCGTGTATAGAGCCGCCAGACCATCAGAGCGCGCGCCTTTGGCGCAATTTCGCCGTCCACCGACACGGCAGCGGTCTGTCGGCAGATGGCCGAAATCAGCTGATCAGCCGCGCGGGCGCGAGCCGTACTGCTCCCATGGCGCCGCCGCTCGCGCGGGCAGCAAAACCGATCGATCGCCTCCACTTACCGGCTCATCCATTGAGCCTATGCCTACTCAACAGCTGGCGGCGGCCCAAGGCCACGTGACGTCACGCGTTGGCAGGCGGCCAGCTTTTCTGCGCAGATGCCGGCGGCGGCGCGGCCGGCGGGCGGTGACGTGGTCAAGGCTGCCCAGGCGCCGCGTGTTTTCGCCGGGGAAGCGTGCGCGGCCACAAATAGATCGGATGGGCGCGGCCGACGACGCGCCATCGGCGCGCATCCGCGTGGGCCGCGCGCGGTCGATAACTCACGGATCCGCCGACTCCCGACGCGGCGCATTCCTGTCGGCGCGACGTTACGTCATCGAGGCCCGTCCGACGCGCGTGCGGCCCGGAGGGGGGTGAGCAAGCCGGCTGGCATGCGTCACTGACGAACGTGCGCTGGCAGCGGCCACGCTTCCTCTCCAGCGCAGCCTTAGCGGGCGACGCCCTCGGGAAGCCGCCAGGTCGGCCGTGCCCCGGGGCCGGGCTGTTGCCAGGCAACAAAGACCGGAGCCGCACATGGTCTGGCACCGCGCCAAGCCCCGCAGACGGCGGCCAACGAGCTCGGGTGGGGAGGGGGGGGGGAGGGGTTCACGCTCTACCTCTTCCTCAATCTCCATCCCGGCGCTGGGTAATCGCGGCCGCTACGGGAAACCTCGGTCAAATGCGCCGCATACCTGCTTGCGGACCGCGACCTTGACGCCTAAGAATAGCCCAGCTTGAACGGGTCGTGAAAAGGAACCGGGCTCGTTCCGCACGCCGCAGCCCCGCCGGGAACCCTTCCCGCCCTCCGTGGCCCGCTCGAGACTCGCTCTCGCAATGCGTTGTCCGCCATCGGACGCTATCTCCGAGATCGCGGCACCCTGCGCGCCGCCAAGGCATTGAGCCCCAAGGTCAAGCCGACTTTATTGTCTCCGCATCCAGCGCACCCCGACAACCGCTCCCGGCCGACGGCCCCCGCCGGCCGCCCCCGTCACGTCGCGAGCTCCTCCGGCGCCCTGATCACAGCGCGTCATTGAGCGCCGCGCCTCCTGGAAGCGCCGGCCTCTCCCAGAGGGCCGTGGTGTCGCCGTTTCCGCGGCCGCTGAGGTCACACGGCTCTGGTCGGCGGAAGCGGGCGCCGCGGCAGGATGCCCACGCCGCGCTTCCTCTCGGCTCGGACGGCGCTTCCGCGCGACACAGGCAGCACGTGCCGGTCAGCAGGGCAGCTGGCGGCAGCGGCGGGATGCGGCGGCGCATCCGGCGCAGGGTCCCAATCTCGCCGCAGCTGCGTCTGCAGCCGAGCTCGCGGCGGGCCGGGCAAGACTCGTGGACGCCTGCACCACGGCCTGGAGGGTGCCGTGGGGGTGTCTTCGAGAGGGATGGGATTTCCCGTGTTCTAGATGTCTGCATGCAACGGATATTGACGTCAGGCACGCGAGAGCTTCCGCTCACAAACGCATGCTTGACGCTGGCGCTGAGACAGCCCCAGTGCCTGTGCAGTGGGACTCGCGCCCTTCGACGTGCATGCATGCCAGCACGTCTTGCTGCGCCATCTCGCTCAGTACATAGATCACAGCCGACGAAACGTGACATGCCTACCACGCTCGTTGGGGCGCCTTCTCGTCCTCGACACGAATAGCGACGCGCCGGGTGGGGGCCGGGCCAGGCGACCCGCCGAACCAACCGTCAGAGTCGAGCCGCCACTCCTCCCCCGCCCCCTCTCCCACCCTTCCCCGGCGTTGCCGCCGCCGCCGCCGCCGCCGCCGCCGCCGCTGAGCGCCGCTCGCCGTACGATCCCAAGAGATGGGTCGGAGGGCGCGGCGGGTTTTCCACCGCCGCCGGCGCACGTGACGTCGGCCTCTCGCGTGGCGACCGTGAGCGCGGCCGGCGGCGGCCGGGCGTGCCGGCACGTGACGGCGGAGCGCGGCGTGCGGCGCCGCGGAGGAGTGCCCTGCATCGAGCGGCACGCCCGCGGCCCGCGCCGCACCACTCATTCATCGGCGGCGGGGCGATAACGTCCGGCGGCGCGCAGGATATCCTCCCGTACGGTCCGCCGCCGGGCCCAGCGCGCCGCCGGCTGCTGGCGCCGGTCGCAGGAGCCGCAGGGTCGTCACGCGCTTTCACTCTCGGTGCGAGGGACGGCTTGGGAGTGCGGGCCTGCGGCCATGCGGCCCGGCGGCCCAGCGTGTGGGGACGGCGAGGCGAGAGTAGGCCGCGCGTTCGGCAGCCGCTGTCAAGACCGCAGCCAGCCGGGCTGCCGGGCGTGACGCATGCTGCGGCCTCTCACGTGCGATGCACGCGTGCGGCCCGCGGTCGAAGATCGATGCGATGATGACGCGTGGTCGTCTGGCTTTGGCAGGCGCGAGCGAAATGGGGGAGGGGCAAGGGTGTTGACCACCCAACTTCCTGCAAGTCAACACTGGCTCCACGGGCGTTGACTGGGAAGACATAACCAAGCATGGCTGTTCTCCTTACCACAAACTGGGAGAACTTAGTCGCTTCTGGGCTAAGAGGTACCCGCCAAGAAAATACGCCGGCACAACACAACTCAAAGGTGGCGTGCGGGTGCCAACGGGCAACAAACAGGCACACACTGGCGCATCAGTCGGAACTGACATTGCAAAGAAGGGAGACACAAGCGTTTGAACACGCCAATAACCAGTTGACCTAAGAGACATACTAATCATGAGTATGAGAAGCGAAGGCAGAACCCACCACGCCGTTCGAGCGCGGTTCACATCAGCCATTGGCTGGGCGCGTCGTTGTTCAGGCCGACACCAACATACAGTGACGGAATACAAAGTAAAATGAAGTCGGGCATTTCGGTCAGTACCTTATCGGGTGGTGCCTCAGCTGCGCAAATACTACTACAACTAGCAGTGCCTGCCGCCTGGAGCGGACGGGGAGTGCTCTCGGCAGGCAGTTCTGCCAAGGCCACATAGTCGAGGTTGCTGGGTCCAATATGTTTGGATGTTTCCTTACGTGGCCAAAATACAAATAAAGCGTCGCTTTACCTGGTCAAAACACAAATTTTCCCGATCTTTGCAGGAGTTCGGCCCAGTGGTGGGTCCATGCCTGCCGCTGCGATATCACTGAACCTCGCCGGCGAGCCTCCTCTCGCGTCGCTGCATCGTGGCCCTTGCCGGCTCGTGTCCCGCCTCCCACCCACGCCAGCCCTCCGCGGCCGCCACGCCCCCCCCCCCCCCCCTCCTCGGGTCGGGGCTGGGGTCGGGTCAGCACTCACCGGCGGGCTTGTGGCCGGTGTCGAGAGAGTACACCCGGCCGGGCAGCTTCTCCTTGTAGCGCTGGTCGTACGGGTAGCCGGCGGCAGGCAGCGACTCCCCGCGCGTCAGCGGCGGCCGCGCATGGCCGGCCGGCGTCTCCTCCAGCATGGGCCGCTTGTGCTCGCCGCCGTCGTCCGCCGGCCGCTCGGAGGCCCGCTTGTTGGGCGGCAGCGGCGGCCGGCCGTGCGCTAGCTGTGCCGGGTGCGGCATCTGCATCTCGCGGTGCGCCGCCGGGTGCGGCAGCCGCGGCGCGCCGGGGTGCTCGGCCACCAGCAGTGCGCGCTGCCGGTCCGGCCGCAGCGCGTACGTGACGCCGTGGTGCGCCAGCGGCCCGGCTGGGCCCGCCGACAGCCCGTGCGCCTCCAGGCTCACGGCCATCACGCCGTTCTGCGCCTCGTGGGGCGCCCGCGACGAGGCGTGCGGCTTGGCCGCGTGCCGGCTCTCCTGGAAGCCGTGTGCGCGCTTCTGGTTGCGCGCGTTGTCGAGCACCATCTCGATGCGGTCGGCGCCCTCGTAGTTCACGCAGCCGCGGCAGACGGGCTCGCTGAAGTCGTGGATCATGGCCCACGGCATCCGCGGTAGGTCGCACAGGTAGCACGACTGTCTGTGTGCGCGGCCGTACGCCGCGGACGACATGGTGGCGCGGCGACGACAGCAGCGGCCCTTTCCTGGCAGTACCAACCGCGCGCGCCTACCGACGACTACCGCCGGCGCTCGGAGCGGCCGCCGGACGGCTGGTCGCGCATGCGCCGAGCAGCGCCGCCTCCCGGGGCCGACCGCGATTATTGATAAACCGTGCCCAGCGTAAGACTGTACCTCCACAGGCTGGCGGGCGACGTCGGCGCGCATGCGCGCTGCGGGGATCTAGGACAAAAACGGCCGTTTGTTTTGCTGGGAGCGCATTCCGCCCTGCAGAGACGGGTTTAAAGGTGACGCAGCGCGTGACGTCATCAGCGCGGTCGATGGCAGCGCCTCTGGTGGGAACAAGGTGAATAGAGGGCGAGCGGGCCGGCCGGTGCTGCGTCTGCGCTACGATGGAGAAGTGGGGATATAGGATGAGGCGGATTCCGACGACGACCGAACATGAAATATACCCGTGTCTGGTAGCACGTCATTTCACATATCGCATGTTTGTCATCACTACATCTTCAGGTGATTGGAGGGCGAGGCTTGATATGCCAAGTCATGATTGCATGTGTTTGCCCACCCACCTATTGGCAGGCAGACGAAGCGAAAACATTGATTTTGGTGCTGAAAAGGGTTCATTGAGTAACATCGGCATTGCAGCCTCAGGAATGACTGACCCACGGGCCAGACAGACCCACTAGAAATTACCTCCGGTGTAGCATGAATTATCACATTCTCGCACGTCACTGTTCACGAGAATTATGACTGCATGTCCCCGCACTGTCGCGTGGTCAACGGTCCTTGAGCCACTGCGTAATCGGCCTGGCAGTGTCACTGGGTACAAAACGCCTAGCTTAAGCCACAATGCCGGGACGCTGACAGGATGTGACGTCAGGCATGTGACGTCAGGCAGAACAAGCTCATCCCACAGCTCTTTCCTCATGTGCGCGTCATCCTCCTTCCTCGCTGCGCCCCGTTCATCCGGGACGAGCTGCATGCACCAGACATGCGTGGACTTGACCCTGACCATGTGCGGACTTCCGTGCCTCCCTTGCGGCAGCCTTGTCAGGGCCCCCGCGCATGCGCCGAATGGGGCCCCTGTGCGGGCCCATCTAAGTCAACATTGTCATTTTTCCCTGGTAAACGCTCTTTGCGACGCCAAAAAAGTCCTTGAAGTGTCTGCCTTATCTTACTCATTTCTCTCAAATGTCAGCAGCAATAATTGTGCTCACAAATACGGCAGTGCATTCAACCAATGCGTTTCCGCCAGTTAAGCCAAGCGAAACGTTGCAGCATCAGCAATGTCTGACCATCAATCAACATCTGTTTGCGTCTATCTGAGTTGACCAAATGCTGTTTAGAGTCAGGGTTTTCTAGCCCTCGCCAAAGTGTACTTGGAAGCCTTTCTGGTTTTGGTTGGTCCACAACCTGTAGCTTAACGGCATCTCTCCCCAACACCAAGAAGAACAGCATGCTGTAGCTGGTATTCTATGGCCGGCTCAAAATGCAGGTGACCGTGGTTGAAGCGATGATAGACTTTTTCTAACATAGCGTCCCCGTTGATCTCATTTGACTTTATCACGCTACAAAGCTGATAGCTATGCAGTTTGCGTCAGAAAACGCGTCATTTGTTTTAAGACATCAACCTGCTCTTCCGTTTTCTGCGGATCGCCCGGTTCGATCAACAGAGTGGAACACTTCTAGCAAGCGCTCAACGGCAACGCTGCTAGCTCGGCTCTGCAAAAGTCCATGCAATATTAAGAGTATTTAGGTTGTCCTAACCCCAATACTACCAAATCGTCCCACACCACAATCAGACCCACAACAAAACACGTTTTGCATTACAGTCCCAGTTTCGTTCCCCCACTTTCCCTCAAGCTCCCGCCTCTGAGCAGTCGCTCCGGTCCATGGGACCGCATCCGAAGGGGTCAAGGCTGGCCACCGAGCTCACCGGGCAGGCACACTATCGGCTCCGGGTCACCCGTGTCATGCAGAGGCACGTCTGGTCCTGGCTCGGCCCGGTCGGCGACGGCCCAGCGACTCGTAGTGGTGTCGGCCGAAAAAGGCGTCGCCTAAAAGAAGTGCCGTCACCTCTTTCCCGGACACCGACTGACCGGCGGCGTCACGACAGCCGCGTCGACAGAGGGACGGGCGCGGTACGGTGCGCGAGTCCGGGCGCCGCGTCCAGTCCGCTCCGGTCCGGTCCGCTCCGGTCCGTCCTGTCTGTCCTGTCCGTACGGTCCGGTGCGATCCAGTGCGATCCGGTCCTGTCCGTCCTGTCCGGTCCGTTGCAGTCCGGTGCGATCCGGTCCGGTCCGTCCTGTCCGGTCCGGTCCGGTCCGGTCCGGTCCGGTCCGGTCCGGTCCGGTCCGGTCCGGTCCGGTCCGTCCTGTCCTGTCCGGTGCGATCCGGTGCGATCCGGTCTTGTCCGTCCTGTCCGGTCCGTTACGATCCGGTGCGATCCGGTCCGGTCCGTCCTGTCCGGTCCGGTCCGGTCCGGTCCGGTCCGGTTCGGTTCGGTTCGGTCCGGTCCGGTCCGGTCCGGTCCGTCCTGTCCTGTCCGGTGCGATCCGGTGCGATCCGGTCCGGTCCTGGTCGTCCTGTCTGTCCTGTCTGTCCGGTCCGGTCCGGTCCGGTCTGGTCCGTCCAGTCCGTCCGGTCTGTCCGGTCCGTCCGGTCCGTTCGGTCCGGTCTGGTCCGTCCGGCCCAGTGGTTTTGAGCTTGTGTCCACCCCGGTCCGACCCACTCCAGTCCGTCCAGTCCCGTGCCCCTTGCTGACTGGCGGTCTGTCGTTGCAGCAGGTCAGATCTGCATCTATCCGTCACGCTATCCTGTGCCGGTTGACTGGCGGTCTGTCGCTGCAGCTGGTCAGATCTGCATCTATCCGTCACGCTGTTCTGTGCTGCACGGACAGGCTAAGTCTCCGATCTGGAAGTGGTTTGCCTACGTATTGAAAAGGCATTTGACTGCGGACTGGAGCGCGACATTCAACACACGTCGACAAGTCTTGACATAGAGGTGTGAGGAAACAGCTACTTGCCTACGGTCATAGATGACAGATGCTGCAAAATATCCGTAAGTCGCCTAACGAATCATGTTCTTCAAATGACACGTACCTTCCCTCAGTTCATGTGCTTACGAAGTGCGTGCCGATGTAATCACACCTCAAAGATTAGTGGTGTCCATTTCTGTTCCGGTGTCATTCTTTGTGGTTCGAACAAAAAACAATCTGATCTGCCTAAAGCCTGCTGGGGTTTGGGCCCCACCGACCACAGTAGGGGTTATTTACGATGTAGTACATACGTTTCATAACCAGTCACATGTGAAGTGATTCCAACCATTCCGCGCCGTGTTTTGAGGGACTGAGGGTGGGGCTGAAAAAGCTGCTGCTGGTGGCAACTCCCTTGGGTTCACCACGGCCGGATGTGGTCCAACGCCCTGGAATTGCCACGTGGAACCGGCCCATTACGGACTGTTCCCCGTTGCAGTACACATTGCCGCGAGGATTGCAGCATCACAGCCTGCGCCGGTGACCGACGGGTCCTCTGTTTTGAATAATTGCTATTAGTGACGAATCTGTGTAAAGCTGCACACATGCAGCGACCGACTATCATCCACGGCAGTGCCTTCAACGGTGCGAGATAACCAGATCGTGAAACCAATATATATATATATATATATATATATATATATATATATATATATATATATATATATATATATATATTGGAATCGTTGAAAGCATATGCAAGAAATATAAGGTACATACATTTGGTTCGGTTTGGTTGGGGCTATCCACCTAGCAATGACCATGCTGCGGATATGGGATCAAAGGGAGAAGCAAGCACGGGGCAACACGGGGAAGGAGGGGGGGGGGGGGGGGGAGGGCGAGAGGCGCCATTCGCAGGCCGCACTCCACGCACGGATACCGCTTCTTCAGGCTCGGACGAGTGCCCGCACTGGGGGGGGGCGGGGGCGGGGGGCGTCCGGGCGGCGGTGAGACCAGCTCGTGGCTGACCGTCGCAGCATGCTCCGGTGAGACGAGGGTGCCAGGACTGGAGATGAAGCGGCGAATGAGAGCAACAGGGCGCGTCGTGGATGGGCCCAAGACATCAATTTTGTAATACCTATGAACTCGCTGCGAAGTATTCGAGTTTAACGGCAACTTGTGTGGAAGCAAATGATTGTGCGTGGTCTGATAGATGCAGAGTCAGTACAGCACGGTGGTATCAACCTTGTGCATTGGTTCTGGGTTTTCTGTCAGCCCAGAAAACATGGGAGTCTGATGGCCTCTATATTTTCTGGCGACAGGCTCAATGTTTTCCTACCACTTTTCCATGGGCAACTGTCATTTAACATGGGCAAAACAAAAGGACTTAACTATCAAGCCTTGGAATGCCCATGCAAAGGGGTTACCGCCCCGGCAGTAACTATAACTATGACTACGCTTACCAATATAACTTTAATATCTATACTTTTGAGATAAATTTTGAATTGTCGTTTGCCTTGGTGTGTCAACTGCCGTTTTTCCCGCGCACGTCATCTGTGTGCTGCAATCAAGCAGACTTTGGAGAACCAGGCTGTGAAATTACTGCTGCAATATCCCTGCTGCTGTCAAGCTGCTCTAAATAACGGCAAAGTGCTGGCATGCAATTATGAACACGCACTTAGCAGTCCTACGGTACTATCGTGCCCACCTGTGGTGCTATCAAACAGCTGGCAACTCCAACGCAAGGTTCCTGTCCAGGAACTGTCGCTGCATTACTATTATGCAACCACAACGGCTCTGTGGCATAGTTCTGGTCTGCCCCCGTAGTGCATTTCAGGTATATAATTGCCATTTGTTGCCAGCATTACCAAATGAAACAGAAGCTTGAGATCCTGATTTTTCAGCCGCCTTACGATTAGACCGTCCTCATCTTTGCTTTAACTGCTTACCTGGCTTTTTTCTGTGGCAGACTACTGCAAAAGCCAAGACTACTGCACCCAGACATTAGCCTCATGCTGAGAGAAGGATTTCATTTTTTCAGATAAGGGTTTGTCACGGAACAGGATGTTGAGTGCATTCG